ACAGGACTGCATTGTAAGTGCATGAATTTCTACATCAATCGCCAAAATAAATCTACTGTACTAGCTCCACCCTTTTCCATCAAGCTAATGATGATTTTCATTTTAATTTACTTTAATAATAACTTCAATTCACCATTCCTTCCTGACAAAATATTCTCTGTTTATCCAGACTTGAGACTGATACAAAAAGCATGCTAAAATCTGGATACATACACAATAGGCAAAGTCCTCCAGCTAAAGCAGTCCTGACCAAGCTCAACATCTGGAGATGGGTCGCCAGGTGCAGTACTGGGGCGCCCACTGCTCCTGACAGGTTGCCCGAGCTGCAGTGAAGTATGGGTCAAATACAGAGGACAGATTTCCCTACAGGGGCTATAAAGTGTCCCATAAAACCCTTATTCTTTTGCTAACCCGCAAGCCCAAGAATACCACTTTCACACCTGTTGTAATGTAGTTTAAATGAAACCAGTTGCCTTCCTTTGCCTGGCTGGATCTTTTTAAAGAAACAAACAAGCTCACCACAAATGCTAAACAAGTAGTGCACAGTGGGAGTAGGAGTTCAGATATTGTAAAAAGGCTCCTAAAATTTTAACATATACTTTTATTAATATATAGCAGCCTTTCCAGTAAGTCATCGCTCTACTCCAGGTATGTTTTATGATTCAAGTTATACAATAATGAGCTTTCCTGAATCATCATAACTGCTTATAAAGTATGGCTTGATGGTTAATTGGCAAATGGAAATGGCAAAACCATTTAAAAAGCTGCTAGAAAAGACTAATTTCACATTAATTTGAAGAAATTCAAATGAACCATGAGTGAGAAAATAGCCTGAGGAGCATATTCACCAAGAGGAGCTCTGTTCATTTAATAAGCCTAAATTAAAGGAAAATGTATGATTCAATCATCTGGCCACAAACTTAGATCATGTTCGATGACATCATTCTGGGCTGCTAGACCACGCAGCGGAAGTCAGATCTCTGTGAGGACTTTCACAAATATATAGAATACTTCATTATAGTGCGGGTCAATGTGAAATACTGTATCAGTATTGTAGAAATAGCATGCATTTTACATGTAATAATGACTATTCTGTGGCTCTGTGTGCAGTAGGGCTGTGGTTGACTAAAGAAATTCTTGGTTGACTTGTCCTGCCGATTGATTAGTTCGCTGAAAAGGGGGTGTGGCAAAAGCTCTAAAAACTGTTACATATCAATTTAAAAGACATACTAAACTTGTAAAACATGAGTTTAATCTGCCTTTTTACATGTAAATAAATGAAAAAAACATCTTCAACTACCTCACTCATTCAGTAACTTCCTTGTTCTGCTGTTGTCCCATAAAAAACTTATAATCTAAATAAAATGATTAGTCAATTAATACAAATTTTGGTCAGAAGTAAAAAGTAGTGTGTTAAGATGATGATGATGATGAAAGAAAGCATACATACTTTTTGGTCCCTAACTTTGCTCTGCATTTTAACTTTTACATAACGTTCTTTCATTATTCTGTTTAGTTTATTGCATACCACTGCTGTTCTCCCCATAATTCAACCACTTGCGGTTTTATATGCACTGGTTAGGGATTGGGTTGACCAAGTGAGCCATTTTAAGTCAAAGCTGTATTTTTCTTTGCCACAAAACATTTCTGAGCACTGCCATCACCGGGCCTACCCTAAAATACCAAACAACAGTTGGTTTTCACAGTTGTTGTTGCCTTGCAGAGCTATGCTGCAGTTGGGCAACTCCTGTTCTCCCAGTCAGGCATAACAGCAGACAGACACCACATGTGCTGCCTATAAACTATAAAACACAGCACTAAGCAAAAGTGTCAGGAGCAGCTCTAGGGCTATGGGTGATGCAATGGGTGTCAATGACAGGTGGATGCTGGGCTTGCATTTTAGACCTATACCTACTTCCTATACTGGCAGTTCTAGGAGTTGATGTCAGTCTTTTACGTGATCCAGCAAACACAGAAACACAACCATACATTTTGTTCAGAAGTTAGAATGGTTATTTAAAGGTTCACTATGTAATTGCCATCTGCTGTCTTCATGGAGTCTTGTTCAACATTATGGTACTGAACTTATCTAAATCTGTCTTGTAGTAGTTAAATTATCAGTGCTCAAAAAACACCTTGAAAAAAAACATGCATTCTGTAAGTGGGTTTGCATCTCCACAGATCTGAATTTAGCTTGGTGCTGCCACCTGCTTGTTTCCTTGTTCTTTGATAGTCTAATTAATCCCATACAGTGGAGCATTCCAAGCAAAGCAGGTGGTGGACCCTCCAGAAAAGGTACATAGTGCACCTGTGTCCTTGGTTTACCTTTTAAACAAATAAGACTGTTTCTCAGACAGTGTTTGGGAGCCACAGCCAGGTCTGTCAAAATGCATTTAGTGCATAACTTTGTTGTGCTTAAGATGGAAAAAACAGTGATGACATAAAGCAGCTGAATCCACTCCTATAGCCTAGTGGTTAGTGATATTATCAGACTTCCAGTGTTCAATGGAGATAGATGGTCTATTTCACAGTGGAGGACAGACATAAGCAGCTGTCACTCTGAGCTGATCCAGACACAAACTCACCATTGTGCCTCGGACACAGCTGGTCGGGAGCTGAATCCCTCCTCAGAATGAATCAATCAAACCCCTCCCAAACGACAGGACCTGATACAGGCTGATCCGCAGCAGATGCATCACCAGATCTGTCCTAACCTCACTTTGACTCAGGCAGACTCAAACATTTGGACTAGATTTATTATTATGAGGCTACTCCTCACCTTTTTAGGTATACTAAAAATGTGGCAGCTCTCCTGCCTTCCTGTGCAAGTTAGTTTGTAGCTGAATGCAAAGGTAACTTTTATTTTCATCTAGACCAAAGCATAAGCATTAAAACTCGCAAATGCAAAGGTAAAAAATAGGTCTATAAACATGGACAGACTCTGGGCATTAAGACACGCAGTCTTCGGGGCCTAAACGGAAGAAACATCCTTGTCCTGTGTGTGGCGCTATAGCCTCAACTCGCATTGGTGTAATACTGATCTACTGTCTAGGTTAGGAGCCTCCTGCCTTTTCCTTCTGGTGAGCTATCTTTACAAGAAACTATCTTTATAGGAAAGAGGGCACGCATTGGGGTACAGTTAGATGCCTATAAAACATAAACCATTGTCCATGTATTGGTGCAGAAAGTTGGGCTTCAAAATGATACATTTACAATAGTAAAGTAGTAGGCATGTAATTACACCTTTGTTGTTGTTGTTATTATTCAGCACAATGTGTATAATTCCGAATCCCCTGGTGAGCTACTTGGAAAGGAATGGAGAGCTACTGGTAGCTCCCGAGCTACAGGCTGGAGACCCCAGGTCTAGGCCAGCTGCCCAAGGAGAATGACAGGTAACTAGCGAGCAATCTATGACCAACAAAACACAAAAGTGACAAACAAGCGGCTAACTTTTTGGCCTATACCTACATGAAAAATATAGGCTGCGCTATTTAAAAAAAAAAAAAAAAAAAAAGACTGGGTCTCGCTGTGTTGCTCAGGCTGTGCTGCAGGGTCTGTTCTCGGGCGCGATCCCATTACTGAGCGGCACGGGGGTTTTGACCTGCTCCGTCGCCGACCTGGGCCGGTGCACCCCTCCTTAGACGACCTGGTGGTCCCGGGCTCCCCCAGAAGCACCATATCGATACCGAACTTAGTGCGGACACCCGATCGACACAGTCCGCCGCAGCTCAGAGCTCCTGAGTTCAAGCGATCCTCCTCCCAGCAGCATGGATTACAAGCGCGCGCCACCGCACCCGGCGAAGAGCGCAGGGCTCACGAGGACATTTACGTTCAACGCAATATGAAAATATGTATGTGAAATAATATGTGAAAAAATTTGAAAACATTTTTGAAAAAAAAAAAAAAAAATCCTAGTAGTCCAAAGAAAAGTAACCTACCTCTTATTTTTTGTTTTTATTAATGAAACCTAGGCACCCTATGACGTCATAGCCAAAGTAAACCTAAATGTCCTCGTGAGCCCTGTGCTCCTCGCCGGGTGCGGTGGCGCGCGCTTGTAATCCATGCTGCTGGGAGGCTTGGGCTGGAGGATCGTTTGAGCTCAGGAGCCCTGAGCTGCGGCGGACTGTGTCGATCGGGTGTCCGCACTAAGTTCGGTATCGATATGGTGCTTCTGGGGAAGCCCGGGACCACCAGGTCGTCTAAGGAGGGGTGCACCGGCCCAGGTCGGCGACGGAGCAGGTCAAAACCCCCGTGCCGCTCAGTAGTGGGATCGCGCCCGAGAACAGACCCTGAAGCACAGCCTGAGCAACACAGCGAGACCCAGTCTTTTAAGAATGGAGTTGAAATTTTGACCATGTTATTGTTGTTGATATTCTTAAATAGATGTAACAATGAGTGGTCTACTACCTAAAACGACACTGTGCTATATCCTTACATGATGTAGATCTAGACAAATCGCCACTATGAGCATATTGTCATTTGATAAGCATATAATTTGTGGGCTCCAAATGTGAGAAGTGTCCTGTTCTTTGAGGACTAACCCTATTTGTGATGCTACTATCTAGTAAGAACCGCTTATCTTGGCCTGGGCAGTTGTGAGACAGTGCCATCTACTGTTTCTATGTTGTAGTCACGTTGCACATTCTGAAATCATCAATAACGACAGAATCGGTATGTCTGAACAACTGATTGAACCTAATGCTTACAGATATTTAGAATGGGGGGCCAAGGTGTGCTTCTTAATGTCAGCTCCTCAATTAATCTCCAAATAGAAAGAAATCAACAAGAAGGTAGCCTATGTAAATCATGTAATATTACAAAATAAAACATTACATTTACGGATATATTTTTAAATTGTGATTTATATGATAATTTTTTGCTTTATAACATCTTAATCATAATTGCCTAACCTAAAAAGGAAAACAGAAACTGCCCCTACGTTGCCAGATTCGGTGGTTTTCCGTTGCTGCTCTCCCGCAGTGTAACCATCTAGTGTCGCCCTTTACCACTGGAAACAGAAACTAAGATGTGGCAACCGCGATGTAGCCCAGTCTGCTTAAACCAAACGACAGTCCACAACATCCACTGCTCAAGGCTAAAGGTACTAAAACGAGACATTTATTACACTTTACCTCCTACGATGCTAATGTAACACCTTCTAGTAGCCTCATATTTTAACATGCTTGGTTTTTGCTGGTTATTGTCTTGAGATCTCTTGAGCAGACTAGATTAGAGTTAAATTAGGCTACTCAAAATTATTAGCATTAGCCTAGCTATCAACAGCTTATCACCCTGTGCAGTTGTTTGCGATCACACTTACAGTCAGCTCTCAGGCTCTCGTTTTTCAAGTTTACTTAGGCATAGTGCGTATTTGGGTCATTTGCGCGCTATCAAACAACCCGATCTCGGAGCATTTATGAGCTAGCATTTGCTAGCCACTGTCCAAGGCGTTTACTACTGTGTGTCTATCGTGTTATGGGTCAATGTCAGCAGGTTTTGATAAAGCTTATCACTAGTGTGGTCCCCAAACAAGGCCAACTGAGTTCGTGCAGGGATACACAGCCCCGGTTTCCTTTAGGTTACCTCTGTGTACTTCACTGTCGCTGCTCTCGTCTCCAAGTTGTTTCCAGGAACCAACTTGCAGCCACGCTATTGGATTCTTCCTGATGGTTATTTTTTAACTTATCATGGAGTACAGTGTTGGCCATTGACTAGCTGCAAATGCAAAGTGACTGACATGTTACTGATGTGGTATGAGATCTCTGAGTGTTCCCTAATACTGCTTAAAAATGTATTTGAGCATGAAAATCAAGCCATACTTTTGGCACTGTAAAATAGGGTAGTTAGACTTACTTAATTCTTCCACCATTCACTGCCCTGACAGTTTCAATCTTAATTTAGTAATATAAGTGTTTTGGAAAAAAACAAAAAAAACAAAAACATTTAACCCACTATATCATTGTTGATGCAATTGTTTGTTCCTGGAACTGCAGGGGCAAGTTAGTTCAGCCAGTTAGTTTAGGCAATTTGAGATGCTTGAGATATTTTAAATATTTGTACAAAGATAAGCACAGTAGTATTTGTTTACACTTCCTTGTTCCTTGACTACCTTGCATCATTGTTCACCTTTTTTTTTTTATAGAATTGCTTCTAAAAGAACTTGCTATTTTTATTTTGCTAAAACCTTAAACAACACTGAACACAATCAAATAGACAAAAGCCTCAAGCTTAAAGCTACATGAATATGTATTCTGAGCCAAGTCACTTCTCCTCAGGGACATTTGGTCTGGAAATAGAAATGTTTGTGTCAATGTTCTCACGGTGAACTATTTTTAAGAGCAAACAAAGGTGAAAGGTCAGTGAGATAGTGAGTGTGTAGATGCTGGGAGAATCAAGGACAGGGACGAATTGATCATTTTAAGGGAAAACACTGAATATGGTGAAGGACAAGTTAAGTTTATTTTTGTCTGTCTGCATTTGGTCAAAGGTGAATAGGTAAATCCTCACTTGACCCTATTTTGAAAACAATCCAGATACAAACTGTTTATAAAAATGCTTCCATTGTAACCCCTTTCATTGTTGTTCAGATCTACTGTATTAATATAAAGACAGTTGTTTGAGATTTATATAAAGATCAATATATCTGGTGGGCAGTGCAACGGGTCTATGAAGTGCAAGTGCAAGTGAACTACAATAAAGAGAAGTGGTATGTCCAGGTCTAATCGCCTCTTAAAATACTCCCTCAGATAATACAGGGACTTGTGAGCTTGTCAGTGACAGAAGAGCTACGGATCTCTTAGCACAGGCAGATAAACCGTGTCCCCTTTGTCATTTGCTCCTCCCATTTCACCCCCATGGTGTCCTCATAAAAGACTTAAAACTTCTCTTGCTTTTACAGGTTATGAAGAAGGCTTGGCGAGCTTCCTGTGGATGACCGATGCTGAGTGATGGTCTAAGCGCTGTTCTTCGAGGAGGTGTTTGGGGCCGGGGATGTTGCGCTGGTCGGTGCATCTTGAAGGAGGGCCCAGGAGAGTGAACCATGCTGCGGTGGCTGTGGGGCACAAAGTGTACTCTTTTGGAGGCTACTGCTCTGGAGAAGACTATGAGACACTCCGGCAGATCGATGTCCATGTTTTTAACACAGGTGGGGACTATATTTGCTTTTAAATTTGGTAGTTCTTGAATGTCTGCAACAAAGACAGGTGTAATTATGCCAGATTATTGCAAAAATGCTTGTCTCTATCTGCTGTGACTAAGCAGTTGACAAAGATAAACACACAAAAAAATCTGTTCTCAAGAGATGGAACACAGAACAGTTACGGTGCACCTTTAAGATGTATTGTCTCTATGCATCACCACTTGCTTGTCTCCCTGGAAGTCGTATTGCTTTGTCTGAAATGTTCCACAGTGTAGAGTTTAACTGATCTCTCTGGCATTTATTGCTTAAAAGTACCTTGAGAAAGACAAGCAGGTGGCAGATCTCCACAAGTTGTCTCATTTTATATTTTAGCTGTTAGTGCTGTTAGTTTTGTTGAACTTTGTTTACTTTCTGAATTCTTTTATATACTCTTCATTTTTGGTTTTACTCCTACAACCTCGAAATCTTGAATTGAATGGTTGAAAAGGATAAGTTATGTTACAATTTCAAATTCAGCTTTTCCACTGTGGTTTGTCCAGATGTGTGTCAGTTTTTCAGTTGCTCCATATTTCTCATCCAGACAGGTGTTAGATTTAGTGAAAGTTGTATGAAAACTGCCTTCTCTCCATCTGTCCTACTTTTCCTCTGTGTAGCCAGCCACCTGCTTCTCAGGTTACTGCTTACCTTTAGGTGTCACCCAGATGCAATTATACCTTGATAACAATGCCATGACTGAGTGATATGCAAAATTTCCATCTTAGCTTTGTTTCCATTGTGTCCAGTTTAAGCATCTCAGCATTAACCAGGACAAAACTGTCCAGTGTTTCCTCTGGTCCAGACAAACACTCATGTTATGTGTTAAAAAACAGTGCTTTGACAATATAAAATATCACATCTGATAGTCTTTATCTTTCACATGAAGTGGTCTGCAAACTGCTCTCAGAGTCACTGGGTATCAAGTAAAACGTCCTAAAATCAGGGTTTAAAATGTTGTCAATAGCTGAGAGAACTTTTGAATTGTTTTTGTGGTTGGTGATTATTGTGGAGAAGTCATGCTTTCTAGCATTTCTTATTGCATTGCTGTATGTACTTTGTTGATTACTGAATAATTGGTGGTTTATTGTTTATGTATTATTTTGAAGTACGATATATTGTTGAAGAAAATGTAGATGATAATGCTGACATGATAATACTGACACTAATTTATGCCTATAATCCTACAGCAGGGTTACCCCCAAATATTATTCTAAATGCACAATATTGTTAATATATGTGCACAATATAGTTAATATATGTGCCATAGAAGTTATTTATTCAACCCTTCACAGTTCAAATCTGATCATAGTCAAAACATTCCTTGCCAGTAATAACAAAAAAGGTCCCCACGATAAATATTGACCCCCGAAATGTATTGTTCCATCTAACAAAACATGAATGGACTACAAAATTAACCACACCAGTTCAGAAATATCACTTTATACCAGCCTTTTTTGATTTTTTTTAATTCATTTTAAACGTTTTTTTTTATATATATGTGGTATTCTTACTATTATATTTTTTCATAGCTCCAGAACAATTTTGGTATTAGCCATTCTTTGTGTAGTTCCTGTTTCTAATCCCTTCACATACCAGTTTCACAGAAATATGAGAGGAGCCTTTATATATTGTAATCTTTGTTACTATTTCCCCACACTTTTCTATTCTTTTATTAAGGCCATAGACAAGCTGTGACTCAACCAATAAAACCTACATTGAGTCTAGCCTGCATATTAGCTTTTATTTATTGATTGATTTTTTTTTTTTACCTCTTGAGATGGGGATTTTAACCGGATTCCACTGCTGTGAGCTGCGTAAAAGGAATTACTCATTTTGTTTAATTTTAATTCCCAGTGCACCCCATTTTACTGCAATAACGCTAATTTCTATTCAAGCCTAATGAGAGTTATGTAATGATCTGGGCACTGAAATTAGACTAAATGTGTTTCATATATCATAAATATTTTTATAGAGCCAGTGATTCATTAGTTAATATTATCCATTCAAATAGCACCATCAAATAGCAATTTTGTGGCTCAGTTGTGCAGTGTCCTCAGATATATAATATTTCAGGGTTCTGACATGTCCTGGAAAACCTGGAAAATAATTGGCGCAGTATCCAGACAAAGTGCATGGACAATTACTAACTAGTCCAAAATGAAATGTTGTCCTTGAAACAGTTGCTTTGTGAATGTTAATGGATATTTGTCCAGTAACATAATATTCAGAGAGGGAATTTTAGCTATTTCTATCATGGCTTGTGTTAATATTTTTTATAAACCAAAGCAACTAAATATAAAAATGCATCTAAAATCCATCAAAATACAGGAAAGGTTAGGTTTTTTTGGACAACCTCCCAAGACTGAACGTTTCCCTAATTTATTCCATATTTAATTGTCTGTCATTTTTCCAGTGTCTCTGCGTTGGATGAAGTTGCCGCCGGTGCGCAGTGCTGGTCATGAGCGTGTGCGTGAGGTGCCGTACATGCGCTATGGCCACACGGCGGTGCTGCTCGACGACGCCATCTACCTCTGGGGCGGGCGCAATGACACAGAGGGGGCATGCAACGTGCTCTATGCCTTTGATGTCAGTAAGTAAAACATGACACTTGTACAGCGCTTTTCAAGATACCCAAAGATGCTTAAAATAAGTAAGTATAGACGCTTCTACCGCACAAGGCCTAACTGACATTTCTCATGTGTCTCCAGAGACACACCTGTTAGAACAGTGTCTTTGAAGATTTCAGTGTGGTGCATCTGGTTTTAGATGAAGGATGCTCAAGATAGTGATTCTCAACAGACATAAACCTTTCACCTCACGTACCATCTCAGAAGATACTGGGTGTTTTAAGTATACACTAATATTGCTCAGAATGTATTAAGTATTTACACGTGCATTAAAAGTGCACTGTGTAACTTTGTAGTTTAGAGGCTGTCACCTGCTTGTTTCTATGGATATGTCATTGTTCTGCTTAGAATGTTCCACAATATGACATTAAACAGGTTTTCCTTCCATTTATTTAATTACAAGTCATTTCATAAGTCAAAAATACATAAAAAATAACTAATTCTGGCTGTGAGTGGGGTTGCCTCTCCACAGATCTGACCTTTAACTTTGGTCCGGTTTGGTCTCCATGAAAATGGAAAGGTTTAATGTCATACTGTGAAACATTCCAGACAAAACAATAATAAAGCTTTTCCAAGAAGAAAAGCATTACACAGTTCACCTTGTGCAGGATGGCACTTGTTCTAAACTAGAGCTGAACATAGAACTGGTCTGACTAAAGCCAAGACTAATTTAGCCAGGAGCTACACTGAATCAAACCTCTACTAGTTATGTTCCAGTCTACAGTAGAGATGTGATTTATTGCAACCATATATACATCTAAATAAATGGCTACAGTTAATTCACAAGCACATTTAAAACAAACACTATAAATACTGTATCCTGTCATATAATCACAATAACCATGATAACCATGATGTGTGTAGACATTTACTATAACTAATTAATTTTAGTCTTCACATCCGGGATATGAACTAAATCTCCATTCATTCTCAAATGTCATACTTACATGACAATATTTTCCAAAATGGCTCAGCTTTAACCAGAGCAGAGTGAGAAATAAAAGCAGTCTACGTCTTCTGTATCTCTTGCAAATACTCAGATATTAATTTGTGTTGTGCAGATACCCACAGATGGTTCACCCCTAAGATTTCGGGTACAGTCCCAGGAGCTCGGGACGGCCACTCTGCTTGTGTACTGGGCAAAGCTATGTATATATTTGGAGGCTATGAGCAGCTGGTGAGTGCAGTTCTATGCATTTCATTCGGCAGCTTTTGTGAAGGTAAATATGTTTAAACTAATCTCCTCTTCTGTGCCTCAGGCTGACTGCTTCTCCAATGACATCCACAAGCTGGACACTGTCACCATGGTGTGGACTTTGATCAATGCCAGAGTGAGTTTGAACTGTTTCTTAGACTAAATTATAGCTCCGTGGTCAGTATTTTACATAAGATCACAGAAGTCAGTCTGCAGTGGAGTAGGTGTAACTCAGCATGGAAGAGGCTAACCCTAATATAAATTAAATAAATTAACTTTTCATCATGTGTTAACAATCTTTGACTGGGTAATATGGCAAAAAATAATCATCAATCATTTATTTTCTTCATAGTGATCTGTCTTGATTTTTGAGTCAATTTTATTTTGTCTTTTGAAAAACAAAGTAAAATGTCTTTCAGTGCTGGATCAGAAACAACTTTAAATCATGTCCATTTAACACAGCAAATAGTCAAATTTCTTCCTCTAAAGACCAAAAGACTAAACCCTGCTCCAAGCCACAAGCTTTTCCTGACAGAAGATTGTCTGTAGACCTCTTGATTAAAAAAACCTAAGCATGCAATTAATATTAGACATGACTTAATTTCCATTTCACATATAAAATTTGAGTCATCGGCAAGTCCTACAATGTAATGTGCCTATCTAAACTAAGAAGGTAAAAACACCCTGCGTAAACATCTAACCCACCCACCCTCACCAACACTACGGTCCTTGAAGTATCACCACTTTTAACTAGAGCCTCTGTAACCGATCTGTGACTGGTGTAAGTGTGAGGGTGCGAAAAGGGCTTTTGACCATATAATGTGCTAAATAAATAAATGCAGGCTGTTTTGTGGTAGCTAAACCATTTATGACTATTGTTGTTGACAATATTGCTATACAAGTCCCCTCCGAGTTGGCTGTGTACAAAGCCCAAAATGTAATGCTACTCTCTGGGAGTTAGCCAAGTCCAAAGGCCCACACAGGATTATAACCCCCTCTCACTGAAGAAATACCATTTGTGTTTGTGCACAGTCCACCAGCTCGTAAACCAAGCCTAGTAAAATATATTTTCGACAGTCATTCTAGCCATAAAAACATCGAGATGGAAGACCTACTTTACTGTTATTCGATTTATTTTTTGTAGAGCCCAAAATCACAACAGCAGTCGCCTCATAGGGCTTTACGTTGTTGATTTAACCAACAGAAAGTAAAAAAATCAAACAGACAACAAGACAAGTGATCACTACTACTCTTATTTTTTATTCATTATTTTTTTAATATGATTTTTTTTTACATCTATCATTTTGTAGCATCCAGGTAGGTTCCATAGTCGTCCATGGGGGTATACTATACTATAGTCTGATGTAATGACCTGATACGGTCTTATACTTGTTCTGATACAGCTTAAGATTGCTCTAAAGCTATTCAGGAAAGGGTGATTTCTGCCTGCGATTGTGACTTTTTTACTACTGATACTTGCTCAGATTAGTTTTTTACTTTCAGTACTAATTTTAGCATCAATTAATATCTGATTTTCAATACGTTTGTCAACTATACATTGTACTACAGTTGAGGAAAACAGTAGCACATTCAGGGCTGAGTAACACGTGAAAGGCTTTAAGTGGCTTTAGAGCTGAATGCATAGAAGCCTGAACCTGGCTTTGTTCTACCGTGTATTTATATTTCACATAGAAGCGGATCTCATTTCCCTATAGTCTTTCATGTATTTATGTTTCCCCTTGATCTCAGCTTTGCATGTCTAAGCTCTATTATACTCTTTGGTAGTTTTAACAATGGTCAGTAGATGGCAGTATTTACCCTAAAACATCAAATGAGAAGGGTTTTCTTGATAAGGCTGATTATGAGAATAGATTATTTAGTAATTGGGGTTATACAAGGTGATGTGAATAATAGGCTTAAACAAAAACATTCAGTGCCACACAATAACTCAACAACACTTTTCCAAATGAACCTTATTGTTAAAAAACAAGTTGCTATAAATAAATGAGTGAATCACTGCTTATCTAGCATCTATAATGAGCCATTAAAGTATAATTAATAACCCCTTTATTTACAGCTGCTATTGAACAAAAAAAATCCTAACATTGAGATTGAAAAAATATTGTTTACCTATCATTTATTGAATACGTTGATATAGTAATTGTTTAGGTAAATAACAGGTTTACTAAATAAATGCATTGTTCTTTGGAAAGCCTGTGTATATATAGGGCCGTTTTATGCCCACTTTTTCCACAGAAAATTTTTCTTTTATAAAGTGCAAGCATCTTTGAGTGTCCAAAAAGTTCTATATAAGTTTGATGTATTGTTAAAGGTGTCCAGACCTTAATACACTGTTTCTTTCTCCACAGGGCACTCCGGCGCGGTGGAGAGACTTCCACTCCGCCACCATCATCGGCACAAAGATGTTTGTATTCGGGGGCAGAGCTGATCGCTTTGGTCCTTTTCACTCCAATAATGAGATCTACTGCAACAAGATCAAAGTCTTTGACACAGACACCAACTGCTGGCTGAGTACACCCTCCACCCAGCCACTGCCCGACGGCCGGAGGAGCCACTCAGCCTGTAAGACACAATAACAACAACATGTATTTTAATGGAAAACAAACCCAGGCAATATTGTCACTGCTCCTTTGAAGTGTTCCATTTGATCATTTTTTCATATTCAAATAGCTTTTCTCCTGAGTTGAAACACTCCTCCTTATACTTAAATTTTTTAAGAATCAGTTGTTTTTATTCACATTTATTAATATCAAACAACAGTGAAATCTTGAATTCACACTCTTTTACAGCTTACCATTCCGATAGTGGACAGCTTTATGAAATCAAACTCACATGAACTAAACAGCTTGATTAAAAAAAAACTCTTTACATTTAGGATTGACGTTTTTGCTTGGAAAATTCTCACAGTTATTATGTTTCACTTCTTAAGACTAACATTTTGACTTGACCAATGTATCTTGACTTCCATGTTTTAAAGTATTGTGTAATTTTGGTTTGTGTCCAGTTACCTACAAAGGAGATCTGTACATTTTTGGAGGATATAATGCACGATTGGACCGGCACTTCAATGACCTCTGGAAATTTAACCCAGGTAAATCTTTACTTCCACATGCATTGATGTTAAAAGTAAGACTAGTGTATCGGTGTTTCTCAAATTGTGGTATGTGGACTGCTGCTGTTGGTATGAAGCTCAACAGTGACCACCCATTTATTTTTCCAATAGACATTCTAAAAAAAAAATTACATAACTAATGAGCACAAGACCTGTCATTTTATTTAAATTTTGTTTCTGAAACTTTATAAACCACAAAGTTATTAAAACATTTAGCTGAATATTGCTTTTTAAACATGCTTTTTGGAGTTAAAACAACCATGTTATGGATATTCATTACCATGTAGCTGGTCAGCCTCTGCGAAGTCTTTCAACTCTCTTCAACTAATAAAGCCCCGATTTAGAGTTGGTTTTGATTTGGTGGTACTCAGAAAACCAAATATATAGATGGTGTGAGAAGTTTCATAGATGGTGTGAATATTTTCATAGATGGTGTGAAAAGTTTGAGAACCACTGGACTAAATGAGGGACTGTATATAGTTGACCAGCAGATGGCAGCACTTGGATGGAGTTACACAAAGAGGCACAGTTGCCATAGAGACACGGTGATGCTCAAACTAACTCAACAGGGTTCTCCTTTTATGGAACGTTTACGACAGCTTCAGTTTCGTCATTTCTCACTGCGCTCCACATGGCTTTGCTGTGTCTATTTCTGAAATCTCAAGGTTTGTCATGTAGCCTAATTCAAATCGTGATATTTTTATGCCTTTGCCCCAGGCCTTGTCTGCTTAAACAACTCAAAACACATTTTCTCTCAACATGAATAAAGACAGTGAATATTATTATAACGTGTGGAATTTTTAAGCTGCTGCTCCACAGTACATGATTTGAGTTTTCTAATTATTTTGTATTGAGTTTTTGAACTTTAAAATACATTACAAGACTCAGTTTCATTACCACAATTCATTTACATCAGTTACATCAATATAGCAGTGCAGTAGAAACTACAGGTTCAACATATTTCAAATAAAAATCCTGTTAAAAATGCAATGAAGAATGACACATCTAAAATCATAATTTGTTGTTAGTGATTTTTTTTTAAATGTCCAGCTTTATCTAGTCTTACATTAAATGACAGTTGATAATTTATAATGTTATAAAATGTGGAAAGTCCAAGCCCTCTTCACAACCTGATATTTGGAAAGTGCTCATTTTAACTTTGGGTTTTAGTTTACACCAGATAAAAGGACTGAGCGAACTGTTCAAGGTTTTTATATAACATACTTGAAAATTTCAAATAATGATTTTTATATTATTTTTGTGTAATCCTGTGTGAACAGAAGCCTTCACTTGGGAGAAAATAGAGCCTAAAGGAAAAGGTCCCTGTCCGCGAAGACGGCAGTGCTGCTGTATGGTCGGAGATCGGATAATCCTGTTTGGAGGAACCAGGTACAACTATTTATTACTTGTTTTTGTTTAAACTTATTTTACACACAATTTTTTTTAACTTTCACAACAGATTAATGCAAGACTTGCAATGCAAGTATGTGTTTAAATAGTTCAAATGATCTGCTGATACTCGACATTAATAGATACCAGTGTAGGGATGGAAATTTTGCTTAAAACATAATTAAGTTATTATACAAGAGATCCACTTCCTGACCTTTAAATATCTACTGATCATCTTCATATGAATAAAAGTTCAATCCTTAAGAAAGGTTTTTGGCCAAAATCAGCCTGTAGGTACTAGTCTTATTACGTCCAATTAATTCCCCAACCAGGATATCTGCTTGACTGATATCATAAAACCAATACTCGATCCAGCACAGTTTTCAGCATCTGCACCAATATTCTATACAGATGCATCGATGTAGTAAAGAAAGTAGTAGTGAAGAAATACTATATAATTGATAAAGATACAGTGCTGCACAGCTGAAGTCAAACCATAAACAAATTATCTAGTTCAAGAAGCAGAATGCATACCGCAAACTGCACAAATTGCCTAATAATCTAAGTTTCTCTAGTGCTGCTGACACAGAAGAAAAACATCTAGCATATTAATGTACACCTATTTCCACCAATTTACAGAAATGTAGATCAGAGTAAAAATGTAAACAACCAAGCTTGCTTATGTATTAGCCACCATATACATATGAAAAGTCCTAGTTTCTCTCTAAGGCTGTGATGTGTCAAATGCTTTACACAGACACCTCGTCTGACTCACTGAGCTACCACTTTCTCCCACTCCAACGCTCTGCTGCAGAAGTTGGCCATAATTGACCCAAACTCTCCTCTCGTCTCTGCTACAGTTCTGTGCTCTCCGAAAAATACGACAACTTTTGGCCCAATTAAACACATTTTCAGCCATTGGGGACATCAGCTTTGACTTCATGTGAATGTTATAGTTAGGAGCATGTGCACTCACCAAAACTTGGCGATACATTGGATTTTAGTTGACATAAAAGTTTACTTGAAAATGTGATTGTCTTACATTTTCCTCTTTCTGTATATCTGCCTTTCATCATTAATAGAACTTGTGTTACAATCTATTCAAAATAGTGATGGGAATTTTAACTCTTTTATGGGATCCAAATCTTTTGTCTTTCTTTTTGGTTCTCTTTTTACATTATGTTACATTTTACATTTACAGTTTTACATTTACTTATATGATGGAAGCCAAAGTTAAAACTAATTTTAACAACAAACTAATCAGTAATCACTCACGCTTCTGTGCTGATTCTCAGAGTTAATCAGTATAAGAATGCATACAAAATTTGAGTTATGAACCATTCAAAAGAGTCGATTCATTCATGAAAGTCACATCACTAATTCAAAAATTTTGTCAATTTTTTCAAATGGCTACAGTGCCTCTGACATATGAATTTTTGTGTGTGTACACAAACAGAACTATTCCCAGTTCCTAGCTCCCAGTGTCCTTTTATTCTTTTCGGATGATATATTGGCCACCCAAGTTTCTGTTCCTTGAATTTCATCAGCTCTTTTTGCAGTCTTTTTATGTAGTTTTTATTACAAACAATGTAATTCTTCTAATTTTCCATATCTTTAAAACGTGTATCGATTTGTCCGTATCTCCCACCTCTAGCCATTTACTTTTGCTTTAAGAGCATTTTTCCCCCTCTTGTTTGCTGCAACCATAGTAAGTTTTAAAAATACCCTTGATGTTAAATGTTGTTTGGTAGAAAATAACCTTGTTTGACTTTGGATAAATGGTACCTCTGTTCTGTATGCCTTATTTCAATTTCGGTTGTAATCTTTGTGTAGCACCGTCTAGACCGATGCCGTCAGTGAAAAGTGCCCCATTTGTGGATACACCTCTCCTGTCTTGTTACTGGCCCAAATAAATAGCTTGCTTTTGCAGACACCAGCCCTCTCCAGCCCTCCTCTCTGTCTCTTAACGGCGCTGATTGCTGGTGGTTTGTACCTGGTGAAGTGCTGTTTCACCGGTGACACTTCTCAGATAGGGCCTGGTAGTAGCAGCCACTGTATTGGAGCAGCAACCAGCTTTAGTCCAGTCCAAAGCTATAGTCCCAAAACCTGGGCTATATGTTATCAGACAAGAGCAGTGTTATCAGGCAGGCCCCAGCGGGACGTCCTGATAGGGGGAACCGAGAGGAGAGGGATAAGGGTCTTCTCAGCCCCTCTTCGTCTACAGGCCCTTAAGTCCACGGGCCCCTGGCTGCTGCTAGATTAGGACTTCAACGCTCCACTGGACACCACATCAGGAGTAGCAACTGTCTAATACACACACAGCAATTAGTTCAGAAGAGCAGCTTTACATTTGCATATAAGTTTTACACAAAGTTTCAAGTGCTGTATTTTTTATGTTATACCTAAGCTCATAGAAGTTTAGTGAATCCAAATGATCAAACAGTTTTATTCAAGTTGTTTTAATCTGCGAAAGTTATGTATCTGTATGTCAATGCATAACTTGGCCCAGGCTACTTTGTTACTGATTACCTTTAAATATTTAAGTTGCAATATATTTTTGAAAATGTAACTATATTTGTAAAGATTTGGAAAAGCATACAATTACAAAACTTTGAAAATCGCTGAAGAAATGTAACACGTAAGTAGCAGATAATGGGTCATAGAAGTTGGTTATTTAATCCTCTACAGCTCAAATCTAATCATAGTACAAAAAAATCACAAAGTTCCCCACTAGTACAAAGAAAAAGCAAACACGATAAAAATTTACCCCCAAAAATTTTAATCGCATTGTTCCACATATTGAAGGATAACTCAGTATGTGTATTGCAATTATCCTGACAGGCCTAATGGTGTGCAGTTAATCCAGTGTCATATAAGACTAATTTGCATATCTAAAACAATTAAAAAAATTTAGAAATATTTTCCGTCTTATACTGGTAAGAGAAAGTGTGTGAAAGATGGTGTGTGAAAATATATGAGTGGCGCAATGCAAGAGCCAGGCAAAGTGGTTAGAACTGAATTTGTGCATCTTTTGGTTTCTCGCCAGGATTAGAGCAGGATGGATTTTAGGAGTCATGATTTCCTGTGGAGCAGATAGGGCTGGTGCCTTTAAACAGGGGTGTCACTGGGCTCATTGGGATGATGGAGGGCAGTGGCCACGCACAGGAAGAAATTAAACACCACAATATCACCCACATCCTGTTTGAATGGATTTGGCAGGGGTTTTAGTAAGAAAACTGGACCCAATTCAGGTTAACTAGATATGAATGCGCAGAAAAGTTTTTTATATAGGAAAAATCATCCCTTATTTATTAGTTTTGCAATTTCCCTTCCTGGAAACTACTACAGCAAAAAGGAGTAAATTCTATTGTCGTGTAGCAGGTTTGAATAGAATCACCAGTGTAATATCCAGTGTAATATCCAGTGTAATATCCAGTGTAATATCCAGTGTAATATCCAGTGTATTCTTCTATACTGTACTTTTAAAACTTTAAAACTTTTTGTGTAATTGACTCTAAACATACTTCAAATCATATCAATATTACAAAAAATCTAGGCACAAAAACAAGGGAGTTTATTGGAATAAAGAGAAGTGTGGCATTTGGTATTAATAGAGGTCAGCTTCCTGTTTAAAGGTGCTGTTTTGAGGACTTTTGGCCATTCAGTTGTATTTATGAATTGCTCATCTCTATGGCAGTGATGCAGATTCTTCATCACTATTAATAACCATGTGAAATTAATACACAAAAAAGTTGATTTTAGCAAGTGTATGACTTCTTTGCAGTTGCATCTCTTGAATTATAAAGGTTAACATGAAAGAAAATGCACTGAAATAATAGACATTTTTAGTACCAAAGCACCACCCTAATCTGACCCAAAAGCTATTGTTTCCTGATTGTTTTCCTGTAAAAGCCAATTGATCCTTCTGAAGTTCAGTTGAAGTTGTGGTATTTGCCCTTGTAGGTCTGAACAACAGTGCAGTGTTTATTTTTTACATGAGTGCTCTTAAGCCTCTTACAGACAGGAACCACTAAGACTACATCTATACACAAGAAAACCAAGAAAACATCCCGTAGCCCCCAACAGCATTTGGTTCACTATGTTTGGTGCAGTTTAAATTCAACCCTCTTTTATGTTTTAGCCTGTATTCGCCGTTTTTGCCATGTCCTTCTCTCAAGTTTAGTGAATACTAGACATTGAGCAGACCTTGTTTTTTGTGTGTCCTTTTTAGTGTTCGTGCATTTTAAACACCATTTTAACCTCATCACCTGGGCCCACTTTTGTTCTGTTTTTGATAGACTCTAGTCTTTGTACAGATTCACTATATTGGCCTTGTTTGAAGTTTAGACCAGAATTTTGCCTGATGTAGATCATTGAAGTCAGTGTGAGGATGAATTTGGTAAATTAAATATTTTCTGTGGTGAGACTAGGGATTAGGATTTTCAAAAAATATAATCACCCAGATACTAATAGAGTATTGATCCTGGAAAAGATTAAATTTGTTTTAGAATGGTCTTATCAGAACTAGTATTAAATCACATGGTAATAATTATGAAACTAGTATTATTTTCATCAAATGTTGTATTCTACAGTCTACAAAATAGCATTTATTTGTTAACATCCTGGCATTGAGCTTTTTTATATAAATCAAGTTTGACATCTTTGTATTGTGATAAGCAAGTAATACTTATTTGAGTTAATACAGTTAATTCCTCCTACAGTTATAAAACTTTTAAAGAAAACTTCAAATATTCTCTTAATTACCCATTCTGCCGCCTCTGTCCTGTTCATTTTCTCTTGACCTCACAAACATAAGGTCAGTTACCAAGCCCCACATCTCCTCTGCGTGTCCCATGTGCTGTGGACCAGTGTTTGCTCAGGCCAAAGTGAATTACTGCAGGACACCTTGCTTGTGTTTCTTTCATTTAGAAAAGTGGCTCAAGTGAATTCTGCTCAAATTTATGGTCCTCCTCTCGTTGTTTTCCTCGACCTGGTGATCC